TAACTTGCCCAGGGTCACACAGAGAATGAGTGTCTGAGGCCGGATTTGAACTCTGGTCTTCCTGAGTCCAGATGTGACACCTAGTGGCAAGCATCATGAAAAATGGAATGCATAGCTATATCTTCTTCATCAACAAAATGGCCTACCGTATTTTCATTTATGAAACTGGAAAGGAAAAAAAATGGCCATATCCCAAGAGCATGTGCTATCTTCACATTTTTATTTGTATATATGTAGTATAATATGTAACTATAATTTAGATGTGCTAATATACAGAGACATAGATATATTTATATTATAAATTCTAACTTATCTTCATTGTTTACTGCATAGCTAGTGTAGCATTGGAGACCTAGTGAAGAATTCAGGTTACTCTATGGATAATTCAGAATAAGGCAAGATTCCAAAGCAAGAAAGAGTACTTTTTTCTTAATAATTGACTCTTTCTTTCACACAAGTCACAGCTTTGGCATTTGAGATATAAAGATTTCTGTTGGAGTCATGGTTTTCAAGAGCTCTTGCTTTTAAAACAAGACTTGTGTATGAAACAAGACTTGTGTGTGACATGTATAAAAGTTGAAATCTTGGAGGGTTTGTATTGTGGCATTTATGTTTCTAAAGGTTACCCTTCTCAATGAAGAAAACCGATATTGACTTCAGTGTACATCAGTCTCCTATGAGAAATGGCTTTCAAGGAATGAGAAATAGTGCACAAATTGAAGTTTCCCTTTGTTAATCAAATATGTTAGGAATGGAAACTGCTCAGTGAGAAGTCATTGATAGGTGATATTGAGTTTTTAGGATGTTAGAAATCAGCCCCATTGTTCTCAAACCTCCCAGTAAAGATATGGGTGATTTGAACGTGCTTTATCACAAAAATAAAAATTTTTATACTCTTCATAAAAGTCTCAATGCACATAAATATCTATAAATAGGTAGTCTGTATTATGTACAGTATACATATAGTAGGCATAATTATGTGCCTTTGATGTACAAGGCATTGTGCTGGGAAAGTAAAGACGAAACCAAAATGGCCTCTGCCCTCTAGGCTTTCAAGTATTTACTCTCAAAAGTAGTCATGGGTATGGAGGTGGGGGTGGGGATTTGGGAACACAACATGTGCACAAGTAAATATGAAGTATATACAAGGTAATGTAAAATAATTTCAGGAGGGGGATAATAGTAATATGTGTGTGTATTTGCCTCTTTACGAGGCATTATATGAAATATTTTGGGAATAGTTGTGAAATCAATGTCATTCTCTATCGTCTTTTAATATTTGAAAGATGTCCTTGGAATTCATGTAATTTTTTTTTAAAAATAGAAATAAAGTTTATGCACACATTTTTAAAATTCCCCTAGGAATTTTTTTGTTGAAGGATTATGATTGTATCAGAAAAGCTTTTAGAGTAAAATCATCACATATAATTTAAAGCCCTATGAGACTGTTTAAGAATTTATGGAAGTTTTTTTACATAGATTCAGTAGATCTTAAAATGTGGTCCATAGTGGCCCTGAAACCCATTTTATTTAAAATGGCTTCTCTATCAGCAGTATATCAATATTTGAGGCCTATCTTGACCATAGTTTATCCATATATGTGGTTGTATGCATAAAAATTATGCATTCAACTAAAATAAGATGAAATTATGGAATGTTAGAGCTAATGGTATCTAATATAGTCAAAAACAAAATATTTTACAGAATAGAGAAATTAAGGTCCAGAGAGGTAAAATAACTTGTGCCTAAGGTCACATACCTTATTTGTGGCAGAGTAGTCTTGAGTATACATCATATGATGTTCTTTTTTTCTGTGATTATTCTGTATCTCTGAATGAAGCTTAGAACTAGGATGGATCTTTGAGCTCATACAATCCCCATCACCTTACTTGACAATGTGTTTGCTACCTTTATTTTGTAATTCTATTTCCTTTTTTCAAAAGAAATTTTTGACAAAGAAGGGGCCCGAAGGAGACTGAATTGTTTTTCAGGCAAAATAATGACACTTTGGTAGTGATTGTGTGCTCACTTAGATATAGATTAACGTTTTGATTATGCCTTATATTGATTAGTTTTGCATTGTTATTTGTCCTTCGTTTTTGAGGAGGACCAGTGATGTGACGGGATGATGTTTTGACTTGAGCATGAATTGGATTTCAGTGAGGCAGAGCTGCACAAAGTCATCAGCCTCACTCTTTTTTCCAGAGTCATTGAAGTCCAATGGCAAGACAGAAGTTGAGATGACTGGCAATTGATCAGGTTTTGCACTGATCAAAGTTTAGACCTGAATCAAATTTATTTCTCTACAAGCCTTTTCAGCTTTTTGATTTTCCAACTAAATGGATTTCAAAAATTCTCGCTTCCTTTATGGTCCTGGGAACTGCATAGGTGCATAATCAACCTGAGAGTAACCTCTGACTAAATATATTGGACAGACAAGCTCTCATGTCCATGTCTTTCAAGCATGCTGTGCGACTGATTGTCATGGCTTAAGAATATGAGGTAACGGGTACACAGGAACCTGGTCCCTTTATCAATGTAACTTGAGATTACTCCAGCTCTGCTTCCAGCTCTTACATTTTGTAAATTTATGAGTTTTATTAATTTTTGTGAAAAATAGGCAAAATTACTTTTCCTATAAAAAAAAGTATTCTAGGCATATAGGTTAATGCTTATAACATGGTTAAGATTAAATATACAAATCATCATGAATGCCACTGAATACTATTGTAATCTATTTAAAAATTATGAATATCTTTCAATTTAATTCTTCTAACTTGCTCACTTGACTTTCCTTTTTTCATGACCTTTCAATCCTGCCATGTTCTTAACTTTGGTTTCTTTGATTTTCACCTCCTTTTCTCCTAATATATTTATGTATCATTCTCACTGAAATCATCATACTCCTTTTCCATATTTTGTAAATTCATCTCCCAAGTTTTACTGTTTTTTTTAGCTTTGACTAATTCAAATGATTGTGCTTATTTTCAGGCATTTCATCTCTTTTCGAATTTCACTCGTAGACTCTTTGGTATATCATTTAACTCTTCTCTCTTGCCATTTAAATTTTTTTTTTTCATACTGTAATTTCTTAAGTGATTAATCTCTCCAGGAATTCTTTTTCATGATTTTTTTTTCCTTTTGAAACTCTTATCTATTTGAAGAGAGGACTAGTAGTCCCTCTATAATCTACCTTTGTTTATTCATGTGTGAATTATCCACAATACATAGCTAATTCCAGAATCATTTTCCTTGCCTTTTGTTGTCTTGCCTCATACTTGCTACTGTGTACTTGAGAGTGGAGGTAAAGTTTTAGCCATAATCTCATGAAACAAAAGGAAAGAAATTTCAGTCTACTATTGATAGGAAAATGTAGAATACATTTCAAATTCAGCAAAAATATACTGCATTGCGAGGAGAAAATAAACATGTGAATCTATCATTCCATATATCTGAATGGAAAAATACTCACCGAGTCACTGACACCACCAATGGCTGTATGAGTTGTTGCTAATCTTCTCAAATAGGTAAAGTTTCAAGAGGACAATAGTCTGTGCTAATTTCTGTCTATTGTATATTTTTCTTAAGTGTAGAGGTATTATAAGCTCAACACTAAAATATCTCACATATACAATAATTATAGACATGTAACCATGTGATAGTAATAATTATAGCAATACTTTGTATTTTTGGTAACATTTAATTTATGTCTCAAAGAAGTTTCATATAGTATATTTTATCATTGACTTCTCATGCTGGTCCTGTGAAAGAGATGTTATTCCCATCTTAGAGATGAATGAGCTGGAAGTTCAGCAAGGTTAGAAAAAGACAGACTCGTATGAGATCATACTACCCTTCAGTAAAAGAGCAATGACTGGGACTTGGGTCTTTGGACTCCTAGAGTTTTATCATCTAGGAGGCCTATGTGAAAATCCATTAAGTACAGCTTAAGATTCCTACTAGATCTATTGCTTTTAACTTTAAGCTGAAAGAGAATGAATGGCTATTTGATAAATTCTGTGCAATGCCTAAAACACTGTGGACTCATAATAAATATGAAGCAGTCAAGGTTTTATGTTTGTTTTGTTCTGTATGTCTCAGAATCAGCAGATATAAGTTCTACAGCTCCTATTACCATTCACATTTGACATGCAACCTTGACCAAATTACTCAAAATAGTCTTAGTTTCTCATCTGGAAAATTAAGAGAGAAGGAAAGAAACATTTATTGAAAGCCTACTATGTGCCAGGCACTATGCTAAGCACATTATAAATATATTATCTCATTGGATCCTCATAATAACCCTGTGAAGAGGATACAATTATTATCACTATTTGACAGTTGAAGAAACTGAGATAGACAGAGGTCTGGCCTGCTCAGGGTCACATAGCTAGTAAGTGTCTGAGGCAGGGTGGGGAACCTGTGGCCTCGAGGCCACATGTGGCCCTCTAGGTCCTTGAGTGTAGCCCTTTGACTGAATCCAAACTTACAGAACAAATTCCTTTAATAAAAGGATTTGTTTTGCAACTTGGACTCAAAGTACCTGAGGACCTAGAGGGCCATATGTGGCCTCGAGGCCATAGGTTCCCCACTCCTGGTCTAAGACCAAATTTGAACTTAGGTCTTCCTAACACCAGGCCCAAGGTTCTATCCACTAGGTTGGATCGTATGATCTCTAAGATCCCTGTCTACCTCCAAAATCCTATGGTTCTGTGATTCTAAGCTGTTCCCATATTTCATTGGTTCTGAGCTGTTTCTGAATCATCACAGGACCACCTGCAAACAAACAAACAAACAAATACTTACATAATTAGAGGGGAGGGTGAAGGAAGCAAAGAAGGAAAAGAGAGTCTATTGAAAATAGATTCCTTTCTGTATCCAGGGGACTTCAGGATTGATCTGGGACGTAGGTATAAACTGTCAGTTTCTGTTTGTGTTTGTGATCTTCGTAGTCAATTGCTATTGATCTGATGGGACTTTCTTTTTTCTCATCTCTGCAGCATCAAGTCATGGGTGGATAAGATGCAAGATGAACTTGTCACACTGGCAAGGACAGCAAGTGGAGTGACTCAACTCCGAGATGTAAGTTACAATCAAAAGATAATTGTTCGGACACATGAGTGAGTTCTATGGGATCTAAAATCTAATGTTTATTTGCTCTAGTATCTAAATACAGGCAGCTTTTGTTTCCTGTTATAGTACTTGCTTATATTTTTTGTAAGGGGCAGGTGGGGAGGATGATGTAGGAAGAATAGAAAGGTAGGGAGGACCCACATTATGAAGGGCTTCAAAGTAAAACAGAGGATGTTATTTTTGATCCTGAAGGTTACAGAGCCACTGGAATTTATTGACTGAGAATGGGAGGAGGATGACATGGTCAGACCAATTTGACTTAGGAGTTATATGTCCTATTATTATAACTTCACGTTAACATAGTTCCTCAGAAGTATGAATAATAATGAAGACATAATTTTTGGAAAGAATCTATTAGAAATTAATTCATACATCCAAACTAATATGATTGCCTCTAAAGGAGTTGTCTTGAGTGATAATAATTCTATTTTCTGATGTTGTCTGTCTTATGTTTTAGTATCTCAAGATGCACTTTTCAAATAATTTTTCAGTGATTTGTCAGAATTTATAAAAATGTATTTGTGTATACCCTGAAACCTTCGTTTTCTGAGAATATGATTAGATAAAAAAGTGACACGGTATATAAAGGAATGTCTGTACATGGTAATACAAAGTACAAACACACACACACCATGAAACTTTATTCAGCAAATGAGAATAAAGATTTCAGATGGCCTTACAAGTCTACCTTAGAACTCTTGACAAACTTTTATATAACAAACCTGTATTCAGATACAACAAGCAGAGGATGAGACATTGGAAAGGAAATTTTCCCCCGCAAAACTGCAAGTACGTGGCAAAAAAAATGTCAATTAGCAAGGGAATTATAATAACTGTAAGAAGAAACAAGATGTATAATTATTTTTTTCTAGAAAATGTGAAGGAGTGAAATACAACATGCAAGGAATTTGATTGGTCACCTTTGAAGAGGTCAGTTTAAACTGTCGTGAAGACTAAGTATCAAAAACACAGAATTTCTAGTGAACTTGATGAAGCTTATATATATAGTGATCCTTGACTGAGTCAAATACATGCAGAAATTTGAAAAGATTTTTTATGGGTGTCTCAATAAACAGGTGAATGTATGATTGTCACTGAATCAAATTCACATATTTTAGAGTGGATAAGTCATCGCTGTCCATAAAGACAAAATTGGAAAGGCTGAAATGCCAATTCGGTGAATAAATGTTTTCAGAAGGAATGCATGAATCAAACTTGAAATCTGGACAGAGATTGCAGATAACAGTTATAAAATATTTCTCAGACAAATTATCTTAGCAATAAGCAAAGCAGAAATGTTTGTTGTCATGTTTATAGACCCAAGTGGAGAACCAAGTGGGTGGGGAAATGCAGAGGGAAATCTGGAGATCAGTGGCAGGAAGAACAAAGGATGCATCTTGTTACATACGTGGAATTATGATTGTGATTAGCTTCTATTTGCTTCTGTCTGTGTTAGGGCATGGCAGGAATCTCTGACTGTTAGATACAGTTGGCTTAGCAGTTTGAAGTATCGTTTTGAGAGAAAAGACAGAAATATTATTGGAAATATATTGGCATGTTCAGGAGTGCCCACTGATTGAGTTTTTAGCACAGTGTAGACGTGGAGGCAGTCAGTCAATAAGCATTTATTAAGTGCCTACTATGTACCCTGTACTATGCTAAGTGCTAGGGATTCAAAAAGATGCAGAAGACTTTATTTGCCTTCAGAGAGCTCACAATCTAATGAGAGAACAAAAACCAACCAAATGTATACCAACAAGCTTATATCCAAGATAAATAGGAAATAATTAAGAGCAAAGGCACTAGAATTAAGATGGTTGGGGTAGGCTTCCTGTAAAACAGAGATGTCAGACACACAACCTGCTATATTCACAAGTGTGGGCCTAACCAGATTAAAATGCTTTATGAAGGACAGACCAGACAACATTAGCCTCATTTCCTTTTAATTTTTAAAATTAATATTTTATTGATGCTTTGTGGTTTTTTGTATCATAATCATTTCTAAATGTAACTTCCCTGTTCTTTTTTACTTCTTTCATGAATATCCCCTTGAAACAAACAAAATTCTTTATTTTTTTTTAGAGGAGGGGAGATAAGAGGTGGGGGAGGGGGAGGCAATCAGAGGTAAGTGACTTGCCCAGGATCACAAAGCTAGTAAGGGTCTAAGGTCACATTTGAACTCAGGTTCTCCTGAGTCCAGGGCCAGTGCTCCATCTACTGCGCCACCTAGCTGCCCCAACAAACAAAATTCTTATGCAAAAACATCAAGCAAGACAGAAGCCAGTTCTGACAGTGCTGTGAGACTTTTTATAACTTTAGTACCTTAGCTTAGCTCAACAAAAGGAGGGAAGCAAATTTCCTTATTTTGTCTGTGTCTTTGAATTCACAGTTTGTTCAGTTATTCCACTAATTAATAGAGATTAATTGTTTTCAGATTTCCACTAGCACAAAAGTTCTGTTATGATTATTTTCTATACATATATAAATTTTATTTCTGCCTTTGACTATCTTGGGGGTATATAGCCAATGTTAGGATCTCTGGACAAAAAGGTATGGAGAATTTAGTGACTTTTCTAGCATAATTTTTTCCCACAAAATTATCAGGGTTTTTTGTTTTATTATTTTTGAAATTTTCTAAAATTATTAAACAAATTTATAGCACCCCCAGTAATATATTAGTGTCTGTCTCCCTGTAGCCAGCCTCTCTAGCATTAACTATTTTTTTCTTTAATCATCTTCCAATATCCTGAGTGTAAATTAAAACTTCACAGTTGTTTTATACTTTACTTTCTTGTTACTGATTATTTGGAGTTATCTTTTATAGTGTTGTTGATATTTTATAATTCTTTTGAAAGCCACTTATTTCCTTAGCTATGTATATATTGGCAAAATAGGTCTTGGTCTTATATACTTGTATTAGTTCTTTAAACACACACACACACATAAATATAGATATCTTAATTATCACCTTTTTATCAAATATATTTGACATAAAGATATTTTTTCCCAGAAATTGTTCTTGTTTGACAGAGTCAAGAGATTAGTAGATCAGAGCAATACAGTGGATGTACATACTTAGGTTCCAATAGATTACTCATTCCATTCTTGGGGGTCACAATGGAGAAAACGAGGCTGATTGACAATACAGTTAAGTCAACTTGGAACCTGTTGAGTGTCTGGAATCAAAGTGTTTAATGTCTTAATATCCAGTGAAGGAGATTTTAAGTGTCAGAAGGATCTGTCCTTGGTCTTTTGTCATTCAACAACTTCAGTAATGACTTCGATAAAACAATAGAAGGTATTTTGTCAAATATGTGGATGACACAAGGTTGAGAAGTATAGCTAACAATTCAGATGATGTGTCATGTTGTAAGGTCTCAATATATAATGATGAACTGAATCTAATAGGATAAAATTTGATAGAGATGAATTTAAAGGCCTATATTCTGGGTTCCCAAAATCAACCTTAGTGTTGGATTGAGATAGATATAGATGAATTCCTATGAAACAATTTGGGGGTGTCAGTGGACTGCCAGTTCAATATATTTGAACAGTGTGACATTGCAGTACAAAATAAATTATGCTTTCCTAGGCTGCATTGAGGTTATCATTCAAAATGCAGAGAGTAATAGTTCTACTGTGCTAGGTGGGTAGATTACCAGGCTTGGAGTCGGGAGGTCCTAAGGTCAAATCTAGCCTCCAACACTTACTAGTGTGTGACCATGGACAAGTCACTTAACTTTGTTTGCTTCAGTTTCCTCATGTGTAAAATAAGCTGGGGAAGAAAGTGGCAAAGTACTCTAGTATCTTTGCCTGGAAAACCTTGACTGGGGTCACAAAGAGTCAGACACAATTGAAATAACTGAACAACAACAACTCTGTCCAGGTCTGACCACACTTAGAGCATTGTGTTTTGTTTCTGGGTGCCAAATTTAGGGAGGACACTGACAAATTCCAGCGTTTGGAGAAAAGAGGATGAGGAGATTCAGTGCCTTGAACATTCTCTCTTCCCCAGCATCAGTGATGTTGTAAGAGGGGAACATTAAGGGGTAAAGTTTGGCCTCTGAGGTCCCTCCTAATTTAGTTTTTGTGATTCTTTGATTCTGTCATAAGCTTTAGTTTTGTAAATTTTGTAAATTGCTATTCATGAAGTAGTTTTGTTGCTCCAGGTTTCTTCTGTAATAATTATAGGAATTTATTCCCAATTAAGGTAAGGAAGTCTGTGGCGTTTAGGTTATTGTTGGGTGTGGGAGCTGTGCCACTTTTTAAAAAGGGAATTTGGCCTAGAAGGAGGAAACATGCCTGGAAGGAAGGAGGGCAGGAACTGAGAGAACGAACAGAAGTCTCAGCCAAAAGATTTCAGAAATATGATTAGCCTAGAGGGTTAGGCAGAGATTTGTGAAACATAGTCTATACCAAGAGAATAGCCAGAAAAACGCCTTGCAGGGAGGAACCCAAGGAGTCAAGCCTTATGACAGTTTGTCTTATGAATAATCTTTGCCTAAGGCATCCCCTTATAATGGTAGTAACATGATAGATTCCTGTGACATTCAACTGAGTCCATGTCACTTTGGTCCAGGGCAGTTTTGGCTCAAATTAAGGGTTGTGATTTCCTGAGATATAGATATTATAGTCCACCATATCCTTTTATATAGTGGTCTATATTCTTTTTTTAATCATAATACCTAACATTTATCTAGTACTTTAAAATTTATAAAGTGCTTTACATATACTAGCTCATTTTATGCTCATAGTAATCCTGGGAAATAAGTGCTGTTATTTTCATCCCTATTTTATAAATGAGGAAACTGAGGCAAATAAACTCAAGATCACACAGCTAGTCAGTGTTTGAAGCTGTTTTTTACCTCAGGACTTCCTGGCTCCAGACCTACCTATATGCTAAAACTCTATTGAGGTTAGCTGAAATACTGTCATACTGTTATTATATT